TGCGGTAAAGTTGTTCTTCTTTTTATTGTCGCCTATATGTTTATTTATTTATTGTAATATATACTCATGATATCGCGGCTGTATTGCCACGTCTTGCAGTGCAATGAAACTGTCTCTTCATGGCCGCGTTCATCAAACATTGAGAAAAAAAAGTGGGCATGTGCTTACCAAGAATATGACCTGAAAATGAACGTTTTCACTATTCCAACGATTCTCAAGTATTATTTAAAATGTGTGCCTAGGCACACAGTGGCATTGTATGCTTGCCGCTAGGGGAGTGCAGCTTACACAAAGCTAATCGATGCATGCAGATCATGCAGATGACGCGTGGCCTCAGAAAGAAGCACGCACGCAGAAGTGGTTTCAGAGGCTGTGTATTTTTTGAATCATTAGAAAATGACTTTCATCAGTTTTGTGGTCCCAATCTCCGAGGCTGCAGAATTTCCCCACGCCCGTTTGGTGCGCTGCGAATCCAAATCAGCTGCAGAGACCTATCGGAGTGTCCTCTCTTGACTTTTATATATCGCTCTCTGGAGCAGCGCTCAATCTAGTCATGTACACGTACGTTCAACCACCATCATCGTTATCGACCTAAGCAGCGAGTGATTTTCACAAAGAGTCTAAATCATCACTTTTTTGGAAGCCCAGGGAAGTAATTGTTCAATTGGTTCTCAACAGACAAGGTTCGCGTAGCGTAATGGACGAGGAAATATATATGTGGCCGCTTACCGATGTGCTGCACGTCAACCGGATTCGGTCTTCGTTCTCGTCTTCAGCCCTGTTGGCTCCACGTGCGCCTAAACACCATGCTGCTACCTACTTGGTTTGAAATGAAGATGCAGATAGTGTGAGGTATTGCTTGAGTCAAGGCTCTAGTAAAGTGATTCCTCACAATATGTAGATCCTATTTTTTTGGCCCACACCCACCCTAAAAAAATTGGGAATTACCACCTCGTCATCATTTCTAGAATATAAAATAGTGTTTTTACTGCGACCATGTCATGATGCATTGCCACAAAGAAAACTATATAGCATAATCAGACAAAGTGGTAAAGTGAACAGACGGAAGATCAAACGTTTGGCCTTCGAGTATCGGCTGTGGGCTGTTCATGAGTTGATATGCGATGCTGCATTGACGCTCGAAACGAGCAATATTTTTCGCTTTATACGTTTTCATCTCATGGACGTCAGCTTTGGCATTCAGCGATCACAGATTACAAGTTTCACGCTATTACGAATGTTCCAGTAATCAGCTCATGAGAGAGGGGGGGGGGGGTGGTACCCTTCCTGGGGCCTCGTCATCGCCACCGCAACATGTGAGCTTGCAGTGCCGTTATCTCACGGGTTGTAAGGGAGAGAAATAAGGCACTAAGTAAATACATTGTAATTGAAAGCAACGAGGCACTAAATCAATAGCTCAGTCATAGCTCACCGACATCCTACTGTTTCCTTGCACAAAGCATCGTTCGTTCCCGTGCAGATGAAAGTATTCGCTGTTTCACAGCCGGGCACGTCGTCCCGTTCGGTCACCACTGTACCACAAACACTGATTAACTGGTGCTTAACAGGCATTTATCGCTCATTTTCTCTTGAACGGAATAGCTAATGAAGTAGCACGTCTCCTACATGGGTAGAACGGCAAGGGGAAAATTTTGGCCCAGGGAATTGCAGATTATACGGCGCGGTAAAGTAACAGTCCAGCACGATTTAAAGATAACCGTTCCAGCTTGCACCAGGCTACTGACCCATCCGCTTCGCAAAGATTTCGTATTCTCCTTGTTTTCGTTGGCTGCTATATGCTGCAGCAATAACCCCAGCGATCAACCCGCCACCTTTCCTCGCTATACTAAGCCTTCCATTCATGGCGATCGTTTTTACTTTCTTCGCTCTTCCCGGACGACAACATACCTCGCTGGAAGGATCCGGGGATGCTGCCGATTGACACCATTTCAATTGAACTACTCGCTGAGTTTCTTTTTTTTTTCAGAGCTAGTTTCAGTCGAAGAAAAGGTCGAGTAAAAAGGGGCGTACTATTTCGTTTCACAAAAATAATCACTATCGGGCTTTCTTGCATTTCGTTTCTTGAAAACACGACGCTCACCACTTTCCAAATAACACAAGTAGTGTTTACCTTATCGTGATAGGAACGAATAACGAATGAATGATATAGGAACTGGTATAATATTTAGTGTTAGAAAAGTGTTACCACTACCGCTGATTTTAGGTGACCGTCATCCTAACTGCACACGTGATGCACTTATTCGCGCTATGCACCCAGTGGCGTAGCCAAGGAGTAACCGACCAAGCCTGTGCCCTTTTTCCCCTCCCCGATTTTTTTTCGCCAGAGCATACAAAGAACAAATGGACACTCGACCACATCTGCTTGCCCGGCCCCAGTTCAGATCAGAATAGAGTCCTCCCCCCACCCTCCTCTTCGAAAAGAACATATGTGCCTATGCCTCTGTCTGTAGAGCAGGCTGAAAATCGTTGCACCACATTCATCTGCCACATTGAAATCGCTGACTCAAACATGAGATCAGTCTTTTCCTTGCTTAACTTTCGCTATTTGGCTGCTCTAATTACCCTGTGTGATAGTTAAGCACATAAGCTTTCGCGCCACTCACCTTGAGTGCGCAGGTTCGGTTACATACCACGGCGGTTGCGAATTAGCATATCAGCTTGCATTAGTCAAGGTTTCACATCAGTAGCTCAGCACTAGTCCTGCCCAACCTGGAGAAATTACAGAACTGGTTGACTGGAGTACTGAGATTTTTTTTCTGGAGACTGGGCGATGACCTTCTTTCTCATTGTTTCCCATCTTCTGTGTTTCTGACATCTCTTCTTCATAGCTGTTTCGTTAACTTTTAATCTGTTTTTTCTTTTTTATTCTATGTTGATCTTTTTCTCCCTTAGTTCTTTATCTCTCTTTCCTTCTTTCTCTTTGCCAGTTTCTTTCCCATCTCACTCTGTTTTTCAGTCTTTCTCGTACCCGTTTCTTTCTATCGCCTTCGTTTCATCTTTGTCTTTCTACGTTCATTTCGTCGAGATCGTTTGTTTTTCATTGTTCCTGCTTTATTTCATCCATTTTTGTTTCGTTTTCAAGCTCTTAATCACGCCTGTTTCTTGATCTCTCCTTTTGTTTTTCTTTTTGTTTTTATTCTCTTTATTACTTCCGCTATTTTTTGTTTTCATCGCTTCATTTCTTTATCTTTGACGTTTTTCACGTAATCACCTTGACCAAACAGTGTTTTCTTTTAACGCTTGTACCTGCTGCACTCGGTATTGCGGCTTCACAAGTCAAAGTGGAGCATAGCCCCGCGTGGAGATTAACATGACGGAGCTCAAGTTAGAGACGCTACAAAAAAAAAGAAAACAAAAAATTGGCAGATCCCACGTGCAGTGGGAATCAATGATATGCGAAGCACGAATGAGGAATGTTGATATGTCACTCTAAAATCAGCACACTGTTACGAGGTGGAGGTAAATTATGCCGTTCATGACTTCCGTGTCATGATCATCATGTTTGTTTGTGTCGTTTACTTCGTCATCTATTCACGTCACGTGATACCAAACTTAGTACACGTAGAGCTAGCGAAACGGCTGCGAACCAATATGAGCGTGGTATGTTGTCATGTTTTTGCATAATACGGTTGTCAGGGTTATCAGGTTTGCACCAGTCATATACCTTCGTCATCCATTGACTTCCCGTAACACAAAATTTGGTACATGTGGGGCTAGCAAAACAGCCGCGAGCGCATCATGAGTACGGCGTGTAGCCATGTTGTTACATGACAGGCATGTTGTGATTATCATGTTTGGATGTGTCATTTACCTATGTCGTCTGTTCGCGTCTCATAATACCGAGTTTGGTACATGTGAATCTAGCGAAACGGCCGCGAGCGCATCATGAGCGTAGCATGTAGTCATGCTGTTACATGACACTCATCTCATGTTTATCATGTTTGCACCAGTATTATTCCTTCATCATCCATTCGCGTACCGTAATACCAAATTTGGTATATGTGACGCTAGCGAAACGGCCACGAGCGCATCATAAGCGTGGCATATAGTGATGTTGTTACATGACACGCATGTGATGATTTTCATGTCACTGATGTCAGTTCATGTCAGTTTCATATTACTGATCATGTTCATGTCATTTTCATTGTGATGATTTTCATGTCTGTCACTTGTCTGTGCCATGCAATCATGCCATACCATGCTAGTTTTGCGACATGGCATGTGAATGAAACCACCGCAAGAGCTCCGGGACCATGAAAAGTAAATCATGACGTTCGTGACACACATGTCATTATTTTCATGCTATGACTAGTCAAATATGTTCTTCATACAATCATGTTATGCCATACCAAGTTTGGTATCGATACCATCATCGAAACGGCCAGGAGAGCTAAAAGTCGTAGGCGGCTAGATAGATAGATAGATAGATAGATAGATAGATAGATAGATAGATAGATAGATAGATAGATAGATAGATAGATAGATAGATAGATAGATAGATAGATAGATAGATAGATAGATAGATAGATAGATAGATAGATAGATAGATAGATAGATAGATAGATAGATAGATAGATAGATAGATAGATAGATAGATAGATAAGATAGATAGATAGATAGATAGATAGATAGATAGATAGATAGATAGATAGATAGATAGATAGATAGATAGATAGATAGATAGATAGATAGATAGATAGATAGATAGATAGATAGATAGATAGATAGATAGATAGATAGATAGATAGATAGATAGATAGATAGGATTCAGTTCCCAAGGAAATGCTTTACATTAAATATTGTAGCTGTTTAAAGCAGGAAGTCCCTGTTTAACGCGACAGTACTTACACTGGGTACGTTTCAAGGTGTAGTATGATTGCTTGCTCCCGCATTAGTTTCTTGCTGATCACAGTTCTCGTATGCAGATCTTGAAGCATGCGCACTTAAGTTACATAGTACGTTTTTACCCAAGCGAGTCATTAAAAAATATTCGAATATTTAATTTTGTAGCGAAGTGCGCGACGTCGCGATGTAGTGAAGTACGCCCACGAAAGCGTGAGCAGTGTTGAGCTGCGTAGTCGCGCGTCGCCTAGCTCGGGAGGAGAGCAGGTGCCTACGATGGTGGTCCCAGCTTGTCGGAGAACACCTGCACGCGGTAGATGACGAACCCCTGCGTGAAACGAAGGAAAATTATTAGGGAAAAAAATATTTGATGCCTCATAAAACTGACCGTCGGTGGCGTCAGTATCTCGCTGCGTCTACTCCAACACGAATGAAGCGAGAAAAATTACGTCCTGTCGTTGGCATGTGCTGTCATCATATAACGTCAGAGATCAACCTAACTTGTGACGGAATCACAGTGTCTTAATACGTCATGTAATGGGGCGTCACAAGACAGTGTCATTCGGTGACTCGGTCACAAGGAAACCGATCACGGAGGCTATTAAAAATAGCTGATGTGCATAAAGCTAGCAATGTCACTAATCCTGTAGGCACTGAAAAAGTACGTTAGGTGCATAAAGTCAAGGTAGAGGGGTGCAGGAAGGTAAATACATCGACTTCATCTTAATACGGCATCTAATGTGACATCACATGAAATTGTCGTTCCGTCACGAGTGCGCCGATCACGGAGGCCATGCGAAATAAATGAGAATCAAAAACCTTGCAATGCACTAATCTCGAAGGCAATGCAAAACCACATTAGGTACAGAAAGCTTTCGTAGAAGGGCACAAAAAGATCGATACATCGACTGAGAAGGAAACCAAGAAGCATGCTTTCACCTTTGAATTGCCCTGGGCGAGTGCATAACGGACCCCGTGAGTGTTTCTCTTTAAATTAAGGCGAAGCTCTTGCATGCGACAACATACGCTTTAAGTGAACACCTGGGTAAACACGAGTGCCGTGCCGTTTCGTCATAATGCGGTGACGTCACGCTGTGACGGCATCATGACATTAGGAATTTCCAATTTCATGACATCATGACTGCGCCGTGAAATCAGTGTCATGACATTACGTATAGTCACTTGAGCTAAAGTGGGCGTATCCCGGAGGAGCTGTAAGTGCGTAATGCTAGAAATGCTTCCAATAAAAGAAGCGACACAGCACTATGTTAGCTTTTTTTTTTACATCTGGGGTTTTACATCCCAAAGCAACAATATGATTATCAGAAACGCCGTAGACGAGGGCTCCGGATATTCGACTATCTGGAGTTCGTGCACTGACATCGCACGCGCCTCCGCCATTTCGCCTTCATCGAAATGCGACCGCCAAGGTCGGGATCGAACCCATGACCTTCGGTTCAACAGCCAAGCACCACAGCCACTGTTTGGCAGACAAGAGCCCCGTTTGTTGCGGAAGGCTTTCGAAGAGGGGGAGGGTATAGGAGAATCAACACAATTGGCTGAGAAGCAAACGTCGATGGGAATGCAGCACACAGCTTTTTTTCGGCCATGAAGCACTTAGCAAGTTAATGGAAAGTGGTATAGTTTAAATAAATGTCCATATGCTTTTTTATATTTATAAATGGGCATAGCCTAATCTACTATATGGGCATGTACTGTTTTTCACTGTTGGTATCAATTGCCAATTTAGTATGTCTGACCATTATTCCCAACTCAAGCCAGCCGGGCTATTTAACTTGAAATGTTCTATGGCGTTTTTGTACAACGTGTTGAAAGTGACAACAAAAGAAGTAACAATTGTTATCAAAAAAGAAAGGCGGCTATCACCATCAAGTCGTAAGCGCGAAGATATACATGAGGGACCGCGTAATCGAGTTATTCTATTCAAATGAGAAGTCTTATATCTAGAGGGATAATTACATTACGTTTTATTGGGGTGATGTTACAGTGCTGATAACGTTCTATCACGATTATATTCGATGACTTCAGCACTGAGCCTTGAACTATTCATAAGACTGAGCGCTTATTAAGTAGATACTGACACTAAACTTATTAACGTTTCGCTGAAAAAACACGTCACTGAGAAATGTAAAAATAAAGCCAAATCACGCCTCGGGATTCCTACGGAAGGTTTGTTCTCAAAGCAATGACAGATGAGCGGCCAGTTCTGTAAATAGCGTTGAGTGCATGACGCCAAGTCCTAGAGTTGTCTACACGTGTTTAAGTGCCACATGGTATACTGATGGGTTCTTTGCCTCAGTTATTAGTTATTGGAATGCGGTTGTGATCGAAGAAGGTTATGATCACACTAAATGAGATGCGAAGTGTAAGCGGTGTCAAAATTTGCTGGTTACAATATAGAACCATAGGATATCGAGAAACGTTATCAGAATGGTCTATGACGTGTAAATTGCATAAATCACTCAGAAGTAATTGTGGAACTGCGAAAAACTCTTTTTCTATTAAATTTCGCTGGCTGCCGTAGCCATCACGTGTATACTTACGTCAGCAATGATACCAATTATGACGGCTACCAGGTATGTCGTTGCGTCCGGCTGCGTAGAACAAGGGCTATGTGTAAGTTCACTCTACGTCCGTGTCATACGTCGTTACCGCCTCGAGCAAGCGGAGGGTGAAAGAGCGTCGACGTGACGCTCCTCCACCTTCCGCTTGCGTGCGGTAAGGTCCCCCATAGATGAAACAAGTAACGGGTGGCAGGTGTCCCGCCACGTGCGGTGTGACTGTGCGCGTAGCGCGTGTACAGGCAGCAGGCCCTTACCGGATGTTAGACAGTAATAGTTTAGCGTTAGCGTAATAGCGTAGGTTAAGGGAATGACGCTACTGTGCAGCAAACGTTCTTTGTAGGCAGCATCTTATAGTTTAGCGACATAGCGCTTACGTGGTTTACGTGCCCCCAAGTGGGATGGTGGCGCCACCTATTAGATGATTATTGAGTTAAACAGTGAAAATGAAAATAAAACGAGAATGTTTGCCTATGCCACCGCGCGAAGCATTGTTAGAATTTTTTTTGTGATAATAAAAGTAAATAAATATGAACCACGTACCAAACGCGAAAACACCTACGTTGCCGATTTGTTTACATTGATCTTGTAGTTAGGCCTAGGCGCGTTCGAAATGGGAAGCTAACTCAAAAACTACGCCAACTTATCCGTAATACCCAGTCATAGAAGCTAACTGAAGGCAAGCGAATCCATTTTGAACAGTCGTTTGCTGCGAACAAGGTGAATCTTTCAACAACTACGCCAAAATCATTTCGGAGCGGGCGTCCAAGAGCGCCGCCATGTTTGCGTACACTACGTGCACCTACGCTACCTTAAATCTCATAAATACCGCGCGTACGGTAAGCGGTACGCGTAACGTACGTATCTGCGCATGCGCACTACGATTCCGGTATCACGGTACGCCCGGTATCACGATAAGCCCGGTATACTATAGCTCTCTTGTATCCGCTTCGTCTATTGTGAACCAGAACCTCACCTCTCCTCCTCGCGTTCAGTACGGCCTCGCATTGGCAACCGCCTCTCTGGTGCCCCCCTCCGGCCAACGCCACATCGAAATCACGCTACGTCCACGAGTGAGGTGGTTACACAATCGCTATATATGTATCCGGCAAGCGGAGCGTGACACACAGACGCAAATCTGTTGTAAGATCCAGCGCTAAAGAAGCTCCGCTCTTATACACAGAAACGACGCGTTCCATCACGGTCTGTAAGCCAACGATGTATAAACACTTCCGAAGATATTCTCACGGCACTCACCCGTCTACGAGGTCACGCCTTCATTTGTGGGTTGCGACGGGAGCCCTTCGACAGATTTGAACAGGGTGTTACCTTTAATCGAAAACCATCTCTCCAACGCTTGCACGGAACTCTTTTCCCCATGCAGCTATTGCAGTATGGAAACAGCGTTTTCGCCACTCTTTGAGAGTATTCAGAGAAGCTTTAGAGACACACTTGTTGAACGTCGTGCCCTTGTCACGCCCTTGTCATGTGGTCTTGTTTATGTGGGAACAACTGAAAGATGCATTAATGAAGGCTAAAAGAGCACCACAATAAAGTGCAGAAGGGTACCAATGGTCACTTGGCGATCCACTGTAAGGAGTGCGGTTGTGCGCCTTATTTCGATAACACGTGCGTGCTGTATCGGGACAGAGATTTGTTAGCCCGTTTGATAGTAGAAGCGGCTGAAATGACACGCGATGATTTTGATTGTGTTAGCGCACTCTCTATCTCGCTCACGCGGAAAGAACTATGTTTTTTGGATGGGGTGATAGGCAATAACGGATAGTAACGTACAGAACTGGCACGTGTGCTTTTTGTTGTCTACCACTTTTTATTTCTTTTTCTCTTTCACCCCCTTTGTGAACTCTGACGTTTGCAATAAATGTTTAGCTGAAGTTAAGCGCTTGTGTTGTGTGTTCTTTGTAATAGTGGCTGCGCTTCCTAGCAAGATGTAAAAAAATAATCTCTCTTAATTTGTAATAAAGAGAATTGCGAACGTGTGAACCAAAAATAACAGCTCCGCATGGCTCGTCAGAAGACTTGCAACAAAGTTACATAGAAAAGTCAGACCCTCCGCGCTTACCTTGAATACTGGTTTTTCCTTGTCTTTGGCCATCATCGCTGGAAGCCGGACTAGAAGATACTGAAGAGCATAAGGAGTAGGGGCTTAAAAAATGTTTAACGATTCCGAGTACTTGGTATACACAACTATGGGAGAGCACTAAGCCGTCCCTAAATAAAAAATAACCCACGAAGATGGGGATCAAGAAGGTAAAACGGACAGTTAGATTTGGCGCATCCACATGTCAGTTTATGTTTACAATGCTCAGGCTGTTACGATGCGGCAGGGTCTTCCCGTGTAAATTCAGTTGCGGCTCTAGTTTTGTAGTTGTAGTTGCGGCTCTAATTTGTGGGCACTGTTGATTGCCTTGTCATCTACGTTAAACGGAGCTTTAGCTGCAACGGACATTGTACAAGCTGTAGAACACGTTTTAATATGGCGTTGTACCAATTTGTATCACGCAGAGATCACAGTGTTTTTTTTTTCATGTGGTGATTTTGGAACGTTAAACCACGGGTAATATTTGTTTCTTATTTGCCTCTCTTTCAACTTTTCGGTCACGGGCAAGACTGTAATGTTTCGCTCACAATCAACGACGCCGACACCGACACCGGAATATCTGCGAAAAAAGCACTTTAATGTTGTCGCGGAAATATATATGTAAGTTGCTTTTTTTTCTGCAATAATGATACGCATCCACAGCTCAAGTAAAGTGGTGTAGTGGGCGAGCTGGCACATACTTGTGGCGATGCTTAGCGAGTATAAAACTGGACACAGCAAAGAAAACATGTGGCAGGCGCTCACAATGACAGATAATAAATAAATAAATAAATAAATAAATAAATAAATAAATAAATAAATAAAGTCTCACCGGAATAAATATGCCTTGGTGGACGAAACCACGGCCCTAAAGATAGAAAAAAAAGTGTAGTCGTAGCGAAGTGGATGGCTTAGCGCGAAGTGGAGGTTGCCAATTTCGCTGCCAAGACCTGTCAGAGCAATTTCATTTTATCCTTGGACCTTCACGCAAGCAGCTTTATCAACAGGCAGACACGGCACACGTGTGAATCTATTGCAATAGCAAGCACTTGCGTGCTCGGCATGGAAAATCGATATGCGAGTTTCTATCTCTTGAGAAAGCGTAGTACCTTAGATTTGATTAGGACGCTATTATTCGCCTGCCCTGACTGCACTTTAGAGTAATGTCTCACACAAGTTTTCTTTCTGCGACCACTTGCAAGACAGGGGAGATAACAGTACAATTGATTGTGAAGAAAGGTTTGGTTCTAGCTTCGAACAGTCTCCGAGAGATGAATGAAGTACCACGTGAACTTACACCTTCTTACCGTGCTTAAAAATACTAAATACTTCGCTAACTTAATGACTGGTATTGACAAATTGAAGCGTAGAACGTTATTACATGAGGAGACGTACGGCAGTCTCTTTTTTAAATGCTCTGGTTGCGCATGAGTGCGCCATATGGAAGGGGATGAGTGCTGCTTCCTAATGGTGTACACCAGGAGTTGATCGAAAGATCAGTTTTTATATACATCTACAAATGAACGTGCTCTTCTTCTTGTTTGTTTGACTCAGTCACGGCTAGTGTTGTGCTGCCGAATGATCACACACAGTCATGCGATTCTCCCCCAGATGATCATTATTTTACTTACTTTGGCGCTCTTGGAGCCGTTCTTCGAGCCGAAAATCTGAAACGAAAGAAGTACAGTGAGCTTACCAGCTCACACACTTAGAATAAGCAGTTTACCTTACCGTTAAAACACATTTTTTTTCCTACTGAAGCGTTCCAAGTATGTGAAAATGTTGTTTATAAAGCAATACAAATTTCTAGTTTTCATTTTCATGCACGATATGCGTATTGGAACTGCGGACAATACTGTCAGTACCGGTAGCAATAGTAACCCTCCCATGAGGAGGGTCTCACGTTCTTACGCAAAGCCTAACAGGGTACCTTCCATATGATAGACAACGGCACTTTATAGAAGAACGATTAAAAAATTGGCCCCATATATACACGGCACACTGCAAATGTCGTCGAAAGACGATAGTCTTGCGTCTGGAGAGAGTGAAAAAACGTTTATTTGACATTCTGTGCAAGAAAATCGGTGAATGGTATTCTAGAGGCGCGGCATTAGAGTGCCTCGAGCGCGCAGCGGAGGCGAGCGAGCTCATCAAGTCACGTTACACGTGAGACACGAGCGCTATCTGGCAGTTATCTTAGGAAACGAAGCATGTGGCGTGCGCACCCGTCTCGGAGGTGATAAGGTGTAGAACGCAAGGCGACGGGTAGGTGCCACCACCGTGTCGTCGTAGCAAAGCGTTGGAAACACTTGCCTTTTTTGTGCAAGCGTTGCATTGTCAGCGCAGCGTGATAAATGATACGTTCATTAGAATTACCTATGTATGCCTTTTCTAGCAAAAAGTGACGCCTACAGAATATTGATGTGTTGTTATGGTGCCTCGGATATGCGCGATAATTGCTTTTTAGTTGAAAATCGCACAAGTATGAACGCTGAATCTTGAGCAATATTGATGGGCGCTGCGATCGGGTCGGCCGTTTAGGGTATCGTTTGATGCCATAAAGGTATTGTTAAGAGCGGAAAAACAAACAGACAGACCAAAAGTTTTGCGTCTAAGTTCTCCAAGAAAGACTATCATCTTTGAAATTATCTATATGCAATGCGTAAAATGAACTTGCCTCGTAAGCCAGGAAACCAGCCAAGACGCAGTACAGCACCAGTCGTACCTTCGCGAAACACACGAAGATGTCAACCATTTTCTTGTTGCCCTGTCAACAAATACGAGAATTAACGTAACACAAATACTTCAACATGTCGTAACGGAATTCAAACTAAGCTTGGTCGTAAGAATTTTCGTGAGAACATTCACGGCAACTATCGCCAGGCGCGAATTGGGGTCAATGTCCTCACGTCTGAATTTTTTGAAGTTAGGCACCCATGCAGCTAGTGTGACTAAACAGCGGACACACCCTGCATGTTATACGCCTCTGGTACGCACGGCTTGGTGAACAAAAAAAATGGCTGCGGCTAATCTCGGCTAAGCTAGGCCCGGATATGCAAGCAAAAGCCTGTTTACTTAGTTATGCTTGTTTACACTCGTATGTCTGAAGCCCAGGTTGTCAACCGCTAGTCAAACGGCCCACACCTAATTGAGTGACGAGCGTAGTTTCATCAGTGTCCGTAGGCGTCGTCGCAGTCGATGCGATAAATGCCGGGCTCCTAAAGAGCCGACAGACGCTCGCACTCTATGCTTCTCTGCTAGCAGATGTGCGCGCTCTTTGAGTTTTCACCCATCAGGCCTAAGAAGGGCCTTCGGAGATGTAGGCAGACGAGCCAACGTACGAGTTCGCTGTAGGCACACATCTGCGCTTTCCCGAGGCTTCCTGTCCCATCGACCGCACCAGCAGCCTCGGGACGTCTATTCAGGGCTGGAAAACCTACGCGAAAGGCGGACACTGACATGCAAGCTCCACAGTCAGCCTATCATGCTCGCCTAAACCGTGAGCCACGAACGCGCCGCCCTACCCTCGGATTTTACTCTCACCCTGTGGTACGGAGGCGAATGCCTGTGGCGGTCGGCCCCTGCGAACGCATCAATGCTCTCACAGTGGCCTTCGAGCAGCTGTGATGTCACGGGACAGAGCGGTAAGGCAATGTCACGTGACATTACCGTACCGCCGCGTGGGACCGCTCGCCTCCGTATACGGAGGCCCCACGCGGCGGACAGTCGCAACACGCGGTAGGAGGCATGGCCTCCGAGATTTTGTGCTGGCAGCAAGCTCTCAATTGAAGAGAGAGCCACGTTCCAGGCATAGTTTTTCTAGGAGGCATTGCTCTAACAGAACTCTATCATGCCATGCCTTTCGCTCTTTAATCTTTTCTCTTCTTGCTATCATCTTTAATGCCCCCTCTCCATTCCTAAAGCCGTGCTCCCGCGACGAAAACTTTTTTCTCTGCAGGATCATGCACAGCTGCAAAACCACAATAAAATTTTTGCGCGGCTTGTCAAGGGTGGTGAAAAAAAAACACTTATTAAGGCGAAAGCCCTTAATGTCTCATACTCGCGGTGTCCGGTGTCCGGTCCCCTGACATGGTGCCAGCTGCGCCCTCTTCCCTCACGCTCTCTCAGCAATCACGTGATGGCACAGTGGCCTCAGTAACCAAAAAAATAAAGAAAAGCAGAAAATACAATCAAAGAAGCTAAAAAACAGAAAGAGAACCATAAAAAATCACCACCCAAGCGCTCCGTACAAATCGTCGATGCCCCCTCTCCTTTCCCAAAGCTGAAACGTCTGGTCCCGGTGTTTAGCACTGGATTCAACCCGATGCTGCATTGATGCCTTTCATTATTATCAGTTACATGTTCGTGCTTCTTAATGGAGTTTGAAACACGTTTGGTTTAGGTTTACCAGTGCTTATTTCACATGCCGCACACTGTGTCTGGCATGATCATGGTCATGGGGGAGTGTAATGAGCGGTTAAAAGCATTTTGCAATGTGTTAATCACAGTGATTGTTCTCGAACCAAGCGCGGTCACAGAAGTCGCAGCCGAAGCCAACGTGCTGCTGAAGAAATTTCCGCCGAAAGCAGTGATTGCCCCGGCTAACGCGCTCTTGCAATCATCACATAAATGCCGCAACGTCTGGCATCGCAAGCCAACTCGGCGGGAGGTTTCAGGAGAAACTGTTGCTCGTGGGCTCGCGCCACTGCTGCGTCGACGTCACTCACAACACAGCCAATGACGCGCGCGCTCGGGAACGTTGTAACTCATGACACAGCCAATGGAAAGCGCTTTTGGCACCGCTGCCGGGCGTTTTTTTTTGTTTTTTCTATGGCCATACAAGTTTCCGCTGTAAAAAAAAACGGCTTGGCATAGTCATTCGAGTGACGACAGGCTTTCGCCGATCACGCTTTGGCCACGTGCTAGAATGTTCCGATTTACAAACAATGATACTGCATACTCTTGCTGTGCATAACACACAGCAGTCACTTTTATAAGAGGAAACAAGCGACCGTGGGGCCACAGCCTCCTACCGCTTTGCAATGTGGTGCACCAACAGTGCCGAAGTATGGAAATAAAAAAAGAAAGTGGCGTCATTCCTTTTGTTGATTACATACCCCGCTACTTTATGCTGTTGCGGTCACTAGAATCCTTGACGAGAACAATATTCATGCAACAAAAACGAATATCTGAGAGAAGACGTAAACTAAAGAAAAAACGCTATCGTGAGAGAAGTGTGAGCGGTAGAAGTAACGACAACCCTCTCCTTTTACTTTCGCATATTATTAAAACGTCACAGTTTCGCCAAAAGCGCGAAGCAATGAATGCGATAGCAATATATTTGAATATCTTACGAAGCAAGGCTATCATTATAGGAGCAACATTATTTGTAGTAAACATGCGCTTGCTAAGTAACCAAGTTTCCTGCAGCGCGGCCATGGTAGGTGACCACAACAAGGCTCGTGCGTAGTGACGGTGTCTGTATACGAAGTGAGGCTGGCAGTCAACTAATTTAGATCCGATCTCAAGTAACTCTACAAAACGCTGGTGTAAGAAGCTCCCGCCTGCTGTGGAGGCACAAGGCGCGCGCTGATCATTGCCACGATAGTGCGGTTACCATGAGCGTTCCCCTCCCCCTCATGTTCGCTGGCGAGAAGAGTGCGCGCGCAGACGAGCCCGACCGAAAGGCGGCGACAGCAAAGACCAGCCGAGACTGTCGATATAAGTGCTAGAATGCTAGATAGCCAGAATGTTATCGGGATTCACGTCCCCAAAGCAATATATGAATATGAAGAACGCCGTAGAAGGTGGTTCCTGAAATTTCGACCATCTGGTGTTGCTTAACGTGCATCGACATCACAAAGTACGCTGGCCTCTACCATTCGACCTTCATCGAAATGCGACCGCCACGGCCAAGATCGAGCCTGTGACCTTCGGATCTGCAGTCGAGCACCCTAACCACTGCTTCAGCGTGGCGCACATTTCGCCCCAGCACCGTGCCACATCTGCGATACGTAGCTAGCTGCCAAGCGATCGCACGTTACCTTGCGTAAGAAAGTGTTGGCTGTACACAATGCAGTGTGTACAGCAGTACACGTACGTACTGCACACTGTTAATGCGAAATTCTTACGCTCATGGCACCCAACAGCAGCACCAAAGCGATCGCCGCAGAGCCGCCAAGGTAGACAAAGAGGACGTACTCGGCGACTCCTCCTGAAAGCAGAAGAAACAAAGAAGACTGTGCAGTTGCGCCCAATGTGAAAGCTGTAAAAAGTGTGGAGCAGTCATTTACTTTTTCGCCAACGACGAACCCAAAGCGCTCATGTCGGAGGGGGGGGGGGGGGCTGAGATGGTAAGGCGTTATTATGTGTTTTTTTAAGTGCGCTTGACACAAGACACCACAGTAGAAAGAGACAAACAGAATGAATGCAGCCTGTGACATCGCTGAAGATCTGCATTCCTATCCTGGCGATAGCGTTTTCTTGATGAACTGTCGTCATTTGATTTACACCCTATGGTTTCTGAATGTACGCTTGGTAATTTCCTATTAGATCTTGTATTAACAACGGAGCCACACTGTGTCTCAGTAATCGTCTTAGAAGGCATGAGTGATCACAATATTTTGAACTGTGAATTTATATGCGAATATAAAAAAACAGGATAATGCAAAAAGGGTAATTTTTGATTACGTACGAGTGATTGTTGATATGCATGCGGAGTGCTGACCTTTCAAGCTTTTTGGCTAATTTATGCCTTCCTTCCATCAGCGCAATGCAAACACGAACTTTATTCTTATTCATGACAAGTTACTGTTACTTAAAGAAAAGTACGTACCTAAAATCAGAATAGCGGTATCGACGCATAGCGTACGGTTCACGGCGCATGTGAAACGTTCCATTGACAAAAGAAACGTTTATACCCAAAGGCGAAGTTATCAAACACAGAGGATGATTGGAGACGCTATCGTGAACATGCGCATCATTGCGAAACTGTAATGTCAGTAGCTAAGGACAAATTTTTCAACAACGATATTTCTAACATGCTCCAAAATAACCAAAAGAAATTTTGGAATGTGATGAATCCGAAATACGTCTCAAATCCAACTGTATCATTAGTGAGAGACAGGAATACTGTTTCACCTGCTTAAGTTGCTGTGGAACTCAATGAGTTTTTTTTTTTCATCTGTTTTCACGAATGAGAGTCCATGGCCAAACAATACTCTCTTTCTTCATTTAAATTCGATCATGCATATTGTTGTTATTACTTATGAAGGAATAGAATCCGCCATCGACCACCTTTCAAATAACTCTGTTGCAGGTCCTGATGGTGTATGCTCTAAACTTTTCAAACTAGCCAAACCTGCGATATGTGAAATTCTTGCCGCCCTATTTGAACAATTCATTGACACGGGATGTGTTCCGAGCGATTGGAAGCAGGCTCGTGTCACTGCCATTTTTAAATCAGGGGACCCAGCATACGCCTCTAGCTACACTCCCATTTCATTATTAAGCAAGTGCTGTAAAATTCTGGAACATATAATTTCATAAGCTGTTATGAAGTTCTCAAGAGAACACAATTTATTTTTTATAAGTCAACATTGATTTTTGCGTGGTCGATGATGTGAGACACAACTCTTTCATTTGATCACTGAACTCTACCACTTTCTCCATTAATTACATGATGTTTATTGAGATATTTGTGGATTTTGCGAAGGCCTTCGATAAGGTTCCTTACTTGCGCCTAATACACAAGCTAACACGCCTCAACAGCAATAGCATGTTTATTAAGTGGATAACCAATTTTTAACTAGCCGCTACCAATCAGTCTTCGTAAATAATCACTCTTCTCCTTTGATGAATGTTAAATCTGGTGTCCCTCAGGGCTCCGTGCTCGGACCCATCCTGTTTTAATTTATAATAATAATATTGCCAATGATTTGTGTTCTACAGTAAGATTATTTGCGGATGATTGCGTAATTTATAGAGAAAATACTAGCACTATGGATGCTCACTTCTTACAAGCGGACTTAGATAAACTCGGTAAATGGTGTGATGATAGGCAAATGAAAATTAACCTCAACAAGACCGCAGTCATTCGATTTTCGGCAAAACCTAACCCTGCATTATCCAACTACACATTAAACAACACGTCCATAACCTCATCAAGATCTATGAAGTACTTGGGCGTTCATTTGTCATCTGATTTGACATGGAACACCCACATAGACGCCATGGTTAGGAAATCATCTAGGACACTTGGCTTCGTTCAACTAAACCTAAGTTTAGCGAACACCACCACTAAACTTTCTTGCTTACAACACTTTGGTACGTTAAAAAACCGAATATGCATCACTAATCTGGAACCTGAGTCAGACATACCTCATACATAAATTATAATCTCCACAAAATAAAGGTGCTCAATTTATTACCAAAAACTACCAGCAAACATAAAGCATAGCATAAATTAAATCTTCAATTGATCTCATTCCACTGGAAACGCGTAGGCTTGTCATGCTTCTTTTTTTTTCATAAAATTTATCACAAATCTTCATCACGCACTGCTTTTTATATCTAAGAAGCTCATCGTGTGTCGTCGCGACTTGATCATGAACATAAAATCTAGCCGATCTTCACACATACCAATCTTTTTTTGTGAGCTCCCCCCTACTACGAGTCATCCATTACTAGAACAAGCTTCCTGTTGGTATTGCAGTTATTACTAATTATAATGCATTACTAAACAGTCTGAAATGTGACTTTGAAGCTTAAATTTTTGTATGTTGGATTCCGTCCTCCCCTCTCCCTTTTTTTCTTCGACTCATTGCACATTAAAGTGCAATTCGTAACTTTTGTTCTTAGTTGCATTTTTGTGTCGTTTGTATTTATTTCTCAAGCATTACTATATATCTGAGGAGTTTTGATTACTTTTATTTTCAATATTTTCACATGTATCCACTTTCAGAAGACATTACTTTTGTTGTAACTGAAGTAGTATTGTACTATCTTATTCTTTTTCTCGCTTAGTTCTGTTTGTTAAGAAAACTGTGTTAAGTCGTACTTTGGCTGCAATGCCGCGCGTTTTGTAGCCATTGTGAACTTACTTACAGCGCAACACCAGAAAAAATACAGAACAGGGAAGGAGCAAAAGAGAAAGAAAATACGGCGCTGTTTCAATTACAGCTGTATTTAATATTTAAACATTCATTTAGCTTCATAAGATATTGATATTGCTGCCACGAAGATATTTCTATACCATCTCTTATGCCTATTTTGAACCTGTGCTATGCTGTATTATTCATAGTTTTGCCCGCCCTATGTAATGCCTTTGGGCTTTTAGGGTACATAAATAAAATAGTGCTTACGTACGAGCACATCCTGTCCTTCACAGCCGTTCAGTCTGCTATGCCTCCATAGCGAGAACGAAAGAAATGTTCGCCCTCTTCCATAATCTCCTCCTTTCGGTCCTGCTCTTCTCCCGACCCTTCCCTTCAATCTCGTTTCTCTTCGATGACTTATCGCTATACCCGTCCTCCACACCCTCACTTCCTTTTCCCGTACCCTTACCATTAGCATACTCTTACCCTATACCATACCATTTCTTTACCATTCTCTTACCATACATGACTGCGTGGCACTTACATGTCTGTGCTGGTTTGCCCTCTCACTGCCTTCTTTTCCTCCTTCCCACTCTCACTTACCTTTTTGCCACTCCTTACTATTATTATCTGTTACCTTCTCTCTTCCTCCTCTACACACTCCTCTCAGTTCCTTTCCCACACCCCTGCTATACACGGCCATGCTATGCGCTAGTTTTGCCTGCGGGACAGCCTACACAGCCATGACACTGTTTGATTTCTTTTAACCTTTCTTTTCTTCTCACCCTCGTTACCTTTTCCCACGCCTTGTTATAGTGGGATATACAATGTGTTGCTCTGCGTGCATGGTGTGAAGCAGTGACATCAGATGGCATCATATTTCCTTCTTCCTCCTCTCTCCCTTTTTCTTTCCGCTTCACACTCTACTAGCTCCCCCTCAGCGTTAGTTCCCTTTCCTGCCTCCTTACAGTGCATGTTTATGCTATAGATGGCAATGACATATGGGGCATTGTTTGCGTTACATTAGCTACCTTTAAGAATACTTCAATAACGCACTACAGAATTATCTGTATATAAACACCGCCCACCACTGGAGACCTCCACGCTTCTATGGCGCGTGTAACGTCATGCGCTGCATAAAGTAGAGCCTCAGTTTTTAGGGGCGAAGCTCCTCGTGGTCGAGGCTTGTCCGTAAGCCTTGCCGTTGTGTCCCGCAGAACAAGCGTGTTCCAGACCGCGCATTCTCTCTCTGCCATCACGACACAGCCCATGCAAGGCCCACACTATACGCCGTGACGATGACGATGGCGCTGACAACGCTGATGACTATAATGATAATCACTTGCAGCGACGGGCTTGTACAGTAGATGACGTCTCGACATGCTCTACGATGCGATTCGTACGACTGGAAACGATCAACAACCACCAGGAGAACGTGCACGGACTTTGTCTTTCGAAACTTCAGGCTAGATCCTAAACTAAATTCAGAACTCAGCACAACACGCCAGCTATGATCAATAAACATTGTATAAAACTGTACACCACTTGCAGTTTATTTGCATGCGTGAAAAGTCAGTGTTACGGGTTATTTACAGTACCACTGAAGGATCCCACTGCTTCATCAACTCATCCTCATTCACTTCGCGGATATGCCACGAAAGTTTTCACTAAAGTTTGGAGCCACTACAGATCGTTAGGCTTTATTGCGAAGCTGAAAAATAACAATAATAAATGAGGTTCTACATGAAGCGAATGCATCCTAGAATGACTGAAACGCCGTTCGCACGATTCATGAGAGAGTTTTTTTTTTTTCTGACAAAGGATTAAGTGTCCTATGCTGAAGAATCGAACATTTGAGATTGCTCGGTTATACGACAGGCCTTCGTGAGCCCGGGCTTTTTCTGCGTATACAGTGCTATGTTATTCATGCACTACAAAATCACTGGCGAATGCTGTATGCAAGCAAAAACGGCGAGTTTAAACTGAAAAGCTCAGACGATAACATTTGATTAAAATATGTGGCTACAGAAAACCTCGCGAAGCTGATGTGTACGTTGTAGGGAATCGCTAAAAGCGCGACTTGCCACTCATTTTCAGGAGAATTTGGAGTCTTGCAAGAATGAATCGGATTTATCGTTTAAAGGAGGGCTCGGTTCACTCAGTGATACAGGAAACACGCGAAGTTGCACTGTTGCTTTCCTGTCGACGCGCAAGCACTCAGACTAGCGCACACGACAAAGAAAACGGATGCGACAGCTGCCAGTCTGATAGGTATAACCCTCCTCGAGCGGGTTCTGCTGACAAACGCTCCGTGGTGTGACAGTCTATAGATGGGCACTACAAATGCCGCAGTGGCGGACAAGCTGAAGAATATTGAAATAACTCAAATACAGGCATCCCTGATCCCGAAACAGAATGGTTCGCCAGAATTTAGACATTCACAATGTAAGATGCTTTCTACGTCACCTCTGAATGGTGCGTCCGAGTAGCACCAGTCTAAAAGAGTTCGCGTATTTAGAAAAATATCAAGTTGAATCGCTCGTATATTTACTCTAAAATTCGTCGTATCATTACTCTAAAATTTCGACAGCTTCTATTTGAACGCATGCGGATAACTTATGATAGCACACATTGGGTATGGTTGAAAACTGGGTGTCTTGGCGCCTCTAAATTCCCCCGCAACTTACTTGTTTCGCTCTGGAGTAGTACAAAAATATTAAGCCCGTTGTATAGCTGAAAGACAATGAGTGTTCCGATTATTAGCTTCAATACTGAAAGACGTACAGATAAGATAAACATGCAGTGTTATCTGACTAAATATATAATTAAAATTAGGGGGACACTAAATAACGTGAAACAAATGACAAAAGCATCGGAATTCTAGTAATAAAACGCGAATGTTCAGATAAATAGAGCCTATTTCAGCGAGTCTACGAAGCAGTTGGTTGAATTTTCGTAGGATTGTGAGGGCGCTGCACGCCAGCGCGCGGTTAGTTGAGCATCGATGGCCGTGACGTCAAGAGTGGCCTCAGCGGAAGCACGGTGCCGCGACCTTTCTGTTACGTCACTTCTTTCTCCTCTTCTCTTTTATATCGCACTGTTATCTCCGAAGGGACTCAGATGTGCTTCACTAAAGCGCTATTCACACGGGCGACAAATGAGAATTTGCGGATCACGTGACAAAGACGTCATAGATCAGTGAGTAAGCGCGACTTTTCGGTGCATCGGAGAAACTTTTGGGTGACAAGACAAACTATCCCCCTGTGGTGGCGGATATATGGGAATTTCGGGAAGGTCTATGGCCACATTGTTGCATTTTTTCTGGCACATAGCGGCGGCACGCTGATGGTTTCGTTGTGAACAGCTGGTGAAAAGGGCAGTACGAGCCACTAGAGTGGTCTGGTAACACTGGCCTCCACCTGCGTGCACCTCGACCGTGTGAGTGGAGGACATTTGTGGGGACTTCTCTCCGCGAGATGACGTTGTTGCTAGGCTCCGCCTTTATTCCCCAATGATTTGTCTCCCGTGGGAATGCACCTTAAGAGGCGCTGGCATAAGTGAAAAAAGATTCCGAATAAAAAATCAAGATGCTGCAAGTAAATGCTTGTCCAAACTATTTCATATGCAGGAGTGAATGCTTACTCGTAAAGTGATGAATCAGTGTACTTACGAGGCAGACGGCGGCCAGAATGGACACTTCGAACGCAGTCTCGCATATGCACATCGTTTCTTCTGTGCTTTCAAAACAGGCCCTGGAAAAAAACAACAACAACAAGACATTCAAATAACGATTAATTCCTGTGTTTGACGTCTTGACGCACATACTATGGCATTCCACTCAGGAAAAAAATTGGAGGTGACACTAATCCTTAAATTAGTTACCTCGTAGTGATATTCATTTGTCGGCAATCTTTTTCCTTAGGTTTATACATTGTGTTAGCCATGCCAGAGTCCTTCAATGCTTTTCTGGTCACGAAACTCCACCCGAAGGTTGATATAGGGACAAAATCTGTCGCTAGAGGCGCCACCCGTCGTATGGGGGCCACAAGCCGCCGCCACTGCTGGGCTTGTATGCGCACTGCGGCCGACGTTTCGACGCGATTATGTGCGTGCTGTTCTTCCTGTTACCTTTTTTAAACGTCTCTGAACGCATCAATGCCACCAGATAAATAAGTTAAAACGGGATCCAGTGTCGACGACGAATGAGAGCTGTTTACTTTGGAACGCACGCGTAGTTTACTTGGAAGTGCGGGCCCACCTTATAAACAGCAGTGCATTAGAAGTGTTCTCACACCGCGCGATAACGCATTGTGTCAATAATTGTCTCATAGCCCAATTATATGCATACTTACGATGCCTCGAAGCGGTACTTGCGAGCTATAGCTCGCAAGTGTTGAAAGACAATGCTTATGCTCCATGCTCTTGATGCGAGCAGCTACTGCTTGATCTGCTCGACAACATGTTTGTATTTGCGCCCGGCCAAAGGGCGATTATGTTTATGTGGTAGGTGAGCTTTATATTCTGGTAGGGCCGCTAATAGGGGGAGGAAGGTGAACGAAATGAAACACGACTGGGTAGTACAGGAGCAATCACATTGGTTTATATCCGGCTCGCCTCTCGCGCGCTACTACCCAAGTATTCAAATGAACTGAATGGTTGAGCCAGAAGTTTTATTCCAGACCTTTCAATTGAGTTTATACCCAAATGCGCAGTTGTTTTGGACACACGTTTGTGAGCGCCGATCGCCTTTTTGACGCGGGGACTTTCGATGCCGAGGGCTTTCGCGACCGCTCTAAACGTGCCCAACATTTGATTGATCACTTCTTTCCACGCAGTTTACACGGGACACCCGCCGCTTGACGTTTCCTTGTGTTTACTGTTTAGGGAATTATTATTTACCGGCCGACAACCCATGATTTCTCCGGGAACGGAAGTACAGCAGCCTAATCTGGAAGTTCCTTTTGATGCCAGTGCTAGCCGCTTGGCCGCCTCTGCCACTACCGAGGTACCTCATCACACATTTGTTTTTATTTTTTGAGTGGGAGGGGGAAGGGCGGTTATGATTTAAGGCATGCAATAAATCTTAAATTTGGTCCTAATGATACGCCGCCTAGTAGTCAGGTGTGTACTTATGAATGGGAGATTCACATATGGTGCATGTAATGGGGAGAAAGTTGGAAAACATTTATTTACACAAAATACACTGAGAACAACACTTTGGAGAAGAAAAGCACTAGAAACTATTGCAGCTGTTCTGAGCAATGTTACACAATCTGTGACTCTACTGTACAATGTGTATTTCGTTTCATTAACAGCTGCACTCTGCCTTAGCTCACTGCCTAAAATAAACTGTATTTGAATATACACTATTTACACTATATGCAGATAAATATGAATAGTACGAAAATATTACAGTGTAATGTATACAAGATATACAACACTATATACAAATGGGAAGGCGTGCTCACATACACAGCCATTATGCTTAACACTGTGGCTTCCCTCCACCACTTGCAGTGCATGAACTGCGCACAGTTGCCCGCGAGGCTTTGTTTTTTTCTCACGTGAAGAAATGTAATCTACATCTCAAAAAAAAAGTGTACAACCTCAGCTGTTGTCCCTAAAAAGTGCAACAGACAACCTACACTTGCTGACGCTGTGCGGCTGTCGAGCAAAATGCCCTCAACAATCCTCGCGTACACGTCACCGCATGCAATGTTTTGCACCGTGTACGTCTCTACATGTTCTTCAACAATTTTCAGGAGAGCAAGAAGACGGCTGCTAGGTACTTTCAAATAGCCCCTCGATTTTGTTTGGATCAAGGCAGATGGCTGACGTGTTGTGCTCGACATCGTTTCGATGCAGCCTAAGCAATCCAAAGTAGAAAACTTCTTGGCCACATATCCGCCGAGGTAATCCAAAATGGAGTCTTTGGTCGAAAGGGGGCCGAAAGGAAGCGACACGACCACCCCGTTCACGATGTGCTCGTCCGTTCTCACAACGTCGCTAGCATCAAAATGCTTTTCGCACACCCGAACGTTCTTACTTTCGAAGCTGAAACCGCCAGCTTCCAACCGCGATATAGCTCGCTTCCATTTCTCTCGGAGTTCGGCGCTACTTGGGAAACAGAAGAGCGATGCCTTTTCTTTGTTGCTTCGGTATCCGGAGCTGCAACCCGTCACACAGCACGTCTTAGGCATTGTTCATTCGAATTTTCATGCCGTCCACCTTGAGCACGGTGCACTGGCACATGAAGTTCGCGTTTCGCTGATGCAGAAACTGCGAGCTGCCACCACACAACGCCGTCGGGATGCCGCCGCGGCCAGTGCGTTCCGCCGGGCGCAGCGGGGCGATGGCCCCCCTAGGACGGCTTGCGCCGCGTAGCGGCCGCTCTTGGCACCATATCAAGCTCTCCCATAGAGTGACGGAGAAGTTTCGTGACCAGAACGGTATTAAGGGACTCTGGCCATGCCTTTCACGCGCTGTCATATATAGGATCTCAGAGACCGCTTGGACGAAGGCACACGGATGAGACCAGCTCCGCCAGGTGTCACAACGATTTCCGCTGCTCAAATGAAAACTGTCAGCTGCCTCTGCAAATTCATGTGCTTGGTTATCTTTATCTATCCTTACAGTTAGTTGGGTCTCTCCAGTGAACGTAAAGTGTCCATGACACGGCCACCAAACTGTTTCTGATTTTCAGCCAAAGCTAGTAGTAAAGAATCGCTTATGACTATATAGATATAAAATGGGAGCCACAAAATTGTTTTTTTCTAAAACAAGCCCTAGCAGTTATCGGCCATAAATCTCGCCCAACGCTGTCGGCCGCCACGGTATGATGGTGCGCGTCATGCCATGTGATGGAGGGAACAGAGACACCCAGTTGTACCCAAGTTTAAGCTGCTGCAAATCGTTAAAATTCAATGTCAAACTGAAGGAAGTTGACATCGTTCAGCGGATTACAGACACTTTATCAGTTAGCTTCGTGTTACGTCGCGGTTTGCGAGCGCGTCAGTGTTGCCTTCCTCTCAGGCCACTAGATAGATTGTTTGTAAAAATATTCAATGATGAATCGCTCGACCAAATGCGCTAAAACTCCGCCAAATTACTTGTGAATGCGCGAGGATTAACCCACAAGACACAGATCATGATAAAAAAATTTTGTGTTATAGCTCCTTTAAGCGCTGATATCATGAGTACCCAATAAATTCCTAACTTGCACTAAAAGCATTGCTTTCATACCTGCTTTATTTTTCAGAATTTTTCCAGTGTTCGTAGAAACGGAAGTAAGTACTCAATGGGAAGTGCTTAGAAGAAAAACAAGAGCGTCACTTGGCACCTAAAAACGTCCTCTCCAGATTCAACGCTCTCTTTAGAAGGAAACTTAAGCAAGGCTTTTCCAAAGGCCTGTGTGAATGCTTTGCAATGGCCCGCACGGTGTATCCCATTTCACGTGGTTCTCCTGTATGTAACAAAAGTTGTACGTGATCGGATGTCGTAATAACATACATATAACAGTAGACATAGCGTAGTGAGTTTCGCTACTAGTTGCGTGCAAGAGAGACGAAACAAATTACCCCCCGGAAAATGAGTGATAGCGAAATATATGTTCCAAGTGGATGACATGAAACCTTCATAGAAAACAGCGTATAATTCATTTCTTATAGAAAAATTTCATATCGCATGCCGCATACCTAGAAATCTCCTGTGAACGCAAATGAATCACGTCTGTTCTTGTAGGAACATGCGGAAATATGGGATGCATGTCATTTGTGTCATATGAAATTTTTTGATAGAGTTAAGCGTATAACTCCTGTCTCATGTGAATCGCTTCAAACTAGCCGAGTTTTGTGCCGTAGAAAGCAAGTACCGCTTTTATGGCCAAACAAACTGCCCGGTGCATTAAACGCACGAACCTGAGCCTAATGCTGACACAAATTTCCCTCACTCTTTTATTCGTCGACACCGCATCACAAGTAGCGCTCTATACAAACCACCACTTTGTAAGACTATTTCAAATGTCTAATCAACACACCTGTTTACTCTTGTTATCCCCTAGTATTAGAAGTTGTGTGGTAGCTAGCGCCACCAGAATAATGTTCGAAAAATTGTCATCACGACTACATGATGAAAAAGCAAGACACGAAGGGCACACAGCACTTGTAAGGTGCTCTAAGCAGCCGACTTTCTTGTCGGGTACAACTTTAGAAGCCCGCCACAAAAGCGGATGCACACGAGCTCGCAACGCTGGCTGCACACACCGGACGGACGACACGAGCCGTACGGCTGCTGTGCCCTACGCCACTAGGCTACGATGATTGAAAGCGCCTTCGGAGAGGGCGGGGGTGATACTAGAAAGGAAAATTGAAAATAAGAGTGAGCCCCGCAGCAGTCTACACCAGGTTTCGACACCTCAGCAGTGGCTCACAAGGGAATGGGATAATGAGGGATTAGAAGTGAAGTTTGAGAGAAAAGTCAAAGATTGGGACACGGTCAAAGGAGTCCGAGGACGGGGCATCGATCGGCGAGGGCTAGGCTAGCGCCACGAGATCGCGAATGACACAACTGTTCAGCGCGGATTCCGAAAAGCAAGTTCCCGCTTCCGGAGAACATTGCCGAGTGAATGAGTAGGACATTTTTTTTTTAGTCGTGAAGGCAATCGGCTGTCGTGGTTCGTTCATAAAGTCACGGGCCTCACTGGACTTCTCGGGTTTTATGCGAGTGTAATTATCTATTTACGTTGTGCCT